TATTGGCTGGCCATTGGTCGACCTTGCATAGGACATCTCAAAAGCCGTCTAAAATATCTCTGTAACTTCGAAGAAAAGCTGAATGGGTGGCGAATGCTGTTCTTTCGAGCACCAACAAGCACTGAAGAGAATTTTCTTGACGGGACTCCACCCGCCGCTACTCGAAGAACGACAAGGCAGGATCTCGAATGTGATATCTTCAAAAAAACGTTTTGAAAAAGAAAAACCTTTGCATCCGTAGTGTTCATTGAGCATTGACAGTTCGATGAAAGAAATGAACGGAGATCCAAGGGTCTGCTGATAGTCGATATCAAACGGAACCATTGTCGGTTTTTTGTTGAACGATGCGCTAAACAAAAGTGAAGTTAACGTCTAGCTATGATTATTATCAACACTGCATGTCTGATAGTAGTTAGTAATTGTCGCGAATTTGTTTTATAACGATAGTATCATTGAAGCGTCATGGTCATGAAGTAAAAGATGGGTTTATTCTTTTTCCAAACAGACCTAGTTCCGCCGTAGTGCATAATGCTGCCGTAATCGTATGTCATGTTGTAATTGTCGTTTGTTTTCGTTGTTTCTTTATTGAATTGACTTAGCCAGTCTACCTGAAAGTATGGCCACTTTCCTCCAATCATTATTTCATGAAACTTCTCCGTTTCCTTTAGATGGACGATCGAGAATTGAGTCATTTTCCTTTAGAATACCGTGCCTTTTGTACACTACCTAGATTTGTAGTCCGGCGGATGAGCCAAACCATCCTCATCCTCCGTCGATTAGTCATACGTTAAGGCAGTGTACGAAAGCTTCAGAACACATGGCTCCCAGTGTTTTCTAGTTTGCTTCGAGTCCTACTGAATTACAAGTAATTCGGCACAATGCACTGCATTGTTCCCAGACCGCGGATGGTCGATACATTTTCTGCCCAGAATTCGAAAATGCCATTCAAATTGATTGTGCCTAGCAGGTGAGTTGAGGAAACGTGATCTTTCCATAGTTAGTGAACTAGCGATCTCGAAATGAAGCAATAACCGGCCCCAGCATGAAAATGGACAAAGGGTTCTGCAAGGTCTGAATCCAGAGTAGCAAGTATCAGCGTGATCTTTTCTACACGTGGCGTCAAAATCGATAGAATTGCCTTTTAGCACACTTAACAAGACGAACATAATATGACAGGCTAGTCACATCAGCGAAACTTAGCAGAGGCAGGCCGAAAGAGGGTGTTTTGTTTCGTAACGTGACGATGCAGAAGTTGATAGGAGGAACGATTTTGAGCTTCAACTGAAATTTTTGAGGCAGCTCTGCCAAGAACCTACCTTGATATTGTGCTTGTTTACCGTGATGAAGTCGTCACGATCATGTCTAGACATTGTGTGGAAGAATCCAAGAGCGTGACCGAGCTCGTGCGCAGCGATAGATGCCGGTTTCAGCCAACCACGTCCAGTGACAGTTTCTGTTGCAGCGCTGAGTTTCCGCGACGTAAGACCAACACCCATCCTCTGGGAATACCATAATTCGATCTTTAGCTGAAACAATAACCTCTTGTGGTGGATTCCGAGTTGTTGAAAGGCTGAGTGTTGTGATCCAGAGCAAGGAGAATCACATCTCTATCACTTTCAGTGTTTTCTCACCAAATGGGTTCCGTGTGAAATTAATGCAAGTATCCTGCTCCCATAGCTTCGCTCCTTTCTCGAACGCACTTCTCATTTCTCTACCTTCAATGATTAAATTGCACCTAAATTGTGCCCTATTCAACAAGCGCTATATTTTTGGACATACTAGCGAGCTTGTGGAAGTAGTAGTTCACTCCTTGTGACCATAACATATTTGGATATCTATGATCCTTGAATGCCTTGGCGTTTTGCACGATTTTCGCCAGCAACCTCATCTTCTATATCTTGCACAATCTCCTCGGCTTGCTCCCTTCAACGGCGATGGATAAGGGAGTTACGAGGTAGTATTACGTGTTGTTCAATCGACATACTCTGTTAGCACCATGTCGCTCTGGTAGAGATCCTGCCAACCTGACTGTATTCGTTGACCTCAGTGATGGAGTCTCCTTTCTCTGCGACTTTATCCTTCTTGATGGGTCGCAATCTCTGCAAAATTCAATCCGTTGGGTGGCACTGTACACATACTGACACAGAAAATGGTTTCGCTGCCCAAAGACACTACATCCTTGAATGGTATGTTTAAATGCTCTGAAGTTTTATAGCCTTCTGTCCTGGAAGGGAAGTGAACTATCAGTGTTACCTTCAACCTTTCCTCGAGCGATTTCATCATTTTTGGTGTTAACTCCAATGTCTTCAAAACCTTGTCCTTCATACTTCTGATCTTGTCGCGGATTTTGAACAGTGCCGTGTTTTCGAAGAGCTGTAATTGTATGAACAGGGAACTAGAAAGGGCCGTTAGAAACTAAGCCATATATTCACCGAATTCAGTAAAGGAAAAAAAATGAAAATACGTAATGAACTAGGATACAGAGCTTTAACAAATAGAAAGAGAAATGGGAACCTTCTTGAATCCAACAATAGTGGCATTCTTCAGTTTCTGTCCAAAACTACCATCGCCAGAGAACACTCCTTTTACTTTGTCTACAATGCCTCCATCGACAGCGGCAATCAAGAATAAGGTGAGCAATATCAGCCTCATTCTGAATTGTTGAGAACTATTTTTTCCAAGGTTAGCTGCAACTCGATGTAACACCGCAATTGCGAAAGTATGAGCTCCGACTGCATTTAGATGAAGAGAAGCTCTTCGTTGCGTTCATCTGGTCAAATGTCCCTCTGCTTTTCTATGCTTAATCCTACCCCTTGATAAAAGTTGTGCAACTAAAAATAAAACACTGTTTTATAGCCGTACTGAATAGCACCTTCTGACCTATTAGGTTGACCGGAAAGTTTCCCGCCACGTGTTTGATCGCACCATATTAGCCTTGCATGTATGTTTATGACTTATCGTGGGGTGTGCATGAAGCACGCAAGAGACTCTTTCACATCACTACCTCACACTCACCCAGCTTGCATTTGGATTCCAAAATGCCGCCCAAGTTTCAACCCGACAGGATGCACCTGAGGCACTGTCTTCTTTTCCTTCATCAGTCTGGCTTAAACGCAAAGGAAGCCCAAGCCAAGATAGTGGATACATATGGCGCTGACGCTATCTCTTACGACACGTGCAAGACCTGGATGGCCAAGTTCAAGAAAGGAGATTTTTCTCTCCAAGATGCTCCAAGGTCCGGCCGGCCGATGGAGTTAGACTTGAAGTTGCTGCAATCCACCGTGGAAGAGGATCCGTACGCCACTACCAGGGAACTTGCAGCGATGCTCGGCCATGCCCAATCAACTGTTGAATCTGGGCTGGAGAAGATTGGTAAAGTCGCAAAGCTCCATAATTCGATCTTTAGCTGAAACAATAACCTCCTTATGGTGGATTCCGAGTTGTTGAAAGGCCGAGTGTTGTGATCCAGAGCAAGGAAAATCAATTTCAGTGTTTTCTCACCAAATGGGTTCCGTGTGAAATTAATGCAAGTATCCTGCTCCCATAGCTTCGCTCCTTTCTCGAACGCACTTCTCATTTCTCTACCTGCAATGATTGAATTGCACCTAAATTGTGCACTATTCAACAAGCGCTATATTTTTGGACATACTAGCGAGCTTGTGGAAGTAGTAGTTCACTCCTTGTGACCATAACATATTTGGATATCTATGGTCCTTGAATGCCTGGCGTTTTGCACGATTTTCGCCAGCAACCTCATCTTCTATATCTTGCACAATCTCCTCGGCTTGCTCCCTTCAACGGCGATGGATAAGGGAGTTACGAGGTAGTATTACGTGTTTCAATCGACATACTCTGTTAGCACCATGTCGCTCTGGTAGAGATCCTTGCCAACCTGACTGTATTCGTTGACCTCAGTGATGGAGTCTCCTTTCTCTGCGACTTTATCCTTCTTGATGGGTCGCAATCTCTGCAAAATTCAATCCGTTCAGGGTGGCACTGTACACATACTGACACAGAAAATGGTTTCGCTGCCCAAAGACACTACATCCTTGAATGGTATGTTTAAATGCTCTGAAGTTTTATAGCCTTCTGTCCTGGAAGGGAAGTGAACTATCAGTGTTACCTTCAGCCTTTCTTCGAGTGATTTCATCATTTTTGGTGTTAACTCCAATGTCTTCAAAACCTTGTCCTTCATACTTCTGATCTTGTCGCGGATTTTGAACAGTGCCGTGTTTTCGAAGAGCTGTAATTGTATGAATAGGGAACTGGAAAGGGCCGTTAGAAACTAAGCCATATTCACCGAATTCAGTAAACGAAGAAAAGGAAAATACGTGATGAACTAGGTTACAGAGCTTTAACAGATAGGAAGGAAAGGGGAACCTTCTTGAATCCAACAATAGTTGCATTCTTTAGTTTCTGTCCGAAACCGCCTTCACCAGAGAACGCTCCTTTCACTTTGTCAATAATTCCTCCATCGACCGCGGCGATCAAGAATAAGGTGAGCAGTATCAGCCTCATTCTGAATTGTAGAACTATTTTTTCCAAGGTTAGCTGCAACTCGATGTAACACCGCAATTGCGAAAGTATGAGCTCCGACTGCATTTAGATGAAGAGAAGCTCTTCGTTGCGTTCATCTGGTCAAATGTCCCTCTGCTTTTCTATGCTTAATCCTACCCCTTGATAAAAGTTGTGCAACTAAAAATAAAACACGGTTTTTTTAGCCGTACTGACAATCGTGGTACAACGACATATAGAGAACTTACTGCGAGTAAGAAAATGTAGTTGAAATGTATAGAACTGTGTGGTGATGGACACACTGCACAGCTACTCTCCGATTTTATATCCATCTCCTCAGTATATGCTTCAGAACAAGACGGCTGACAAAACATGAGGTAATGTCATCTGATGGCGGAACTAAATAAAACCCTGTACAAAATGTTCTTGTATGTGTCGTTTTATGTTTGATCAATAGCCATGAAAAAATGGCGTGGGATTGTTGCATAGCATGAAGAGATGCTCTGAGCGAGAACTGTGATGCTAAAGACAATGAAACCACAGCAACACTGCTTGTGCAATGTTGCACACAGGATGAGCAAGTACAGTTCCCTTCACTTGAATGGCAGCGAAGCTTAGGATCAACAAGCGGGA